CAGGGAAATGTAGTGATGACAATGCAGAACATCCTGCTCAGTACCCACCTTCAATCTACTATTCTTCCCTACTTTAACTCATGCTTCAGGAATCCGAACTCTATTTAACACTGGTGAAAGACCGATCACTGAAAACGCTGACAAAGAGGTTATGTTGGTAGTATCCTGTTTCATAGATGTGAGAGAAATAACTATAAATCTACTCCGACGATGAAAAGTCGGAAATGCTGACGTGTACACCAAGATTGGGAAAATCGGTTTGGTCAGACACGACTTGAATTCAATTCCGACGGGTTCTTATGGGTTATCAATTACACAGCAGAAAGATCACTAACAAAATTTTTCCGCGAAGATCGCAGAAGAACGCTGTAGTGTTCTTCATGTCATTTGAGCAAGCAAGTTTGAGCATCTGTTGGACAATTTTGACAGGAGACAACTGCAAAGGACGCTGATAGTTCTTGTATCCGACCATCAACAGCGCAACGTAGGATGGGTGGTGGTTTAAGATTCAGAGTTCTGTGCTTTTAGACAACTAAGCAACTCGTTTATCAGGAATGTGTCAATTGCTCTATATTTTACGGTACAGTGTTTTCGGTAAGGGCGTGTGTGGCGCAGTGGTCGGAGGCGCTCTGCAACACACACTGGATTTATCCCCGTGCTCAAGGCTCACCAAGCCTTTCACCCCACTGGGTCGGCAAGTTAGTACCAGACTTGCCTGGGAAGATAGCAGCACTGGCTCGATAATCGGTAGGCCACCGCGAGTCATTGTAAAGGACAGATATGCATTCAATCACTTCCAAACGATGCTTAATGAAGTCGAGTGCATGGCGCATTCCTTAGGGATCGATCAACGCCGGGAGCTCTATCCTTTTAATTTTCTCGGTTATATTTATTACTGTCGTAAAACTAAGTTTTTGCAACACAAAACTCTTGGGTGGTTGTTTTACCAGTTGTAAATAAAACACTGTCCTATTCAATTACCATAGCAAATAATATAAGCACAAACATCTCACTTCAAGCGAACTTTGGAAATGTAGCACAATTATTAACAATGATCTGATTTATACGAATTTCAATAAACAATAAATTTTTAGAAAGTTTTTTTTACTGCATCTTCCAAGTTGCGATGTCCAGCGGAGGATTCATCGCCCCAATAGTGTCTCCCAAGATGGGAAGGAGTATGGCGTTTCCATCAGGAAGCCCAGCTAAGAGCAAACCAATACCAGGATCCACCACCGTTTTGGTATCAAACTAGTCGTATTGTGGCAAATTTCCCTATGATTAATAGGGTGGCTGCTTGCGGTGATGAATAAACCTGGAGCAGACTTTGGCTAAGTCGACCTCAGGACTACAGGGAACCGCAATGGCTAAACGAGCAAAACTACGAAGAAACGGAAATTATTCTGGGTCCACACAACTAGTGAAAAAGGGCGATCCAAGTATCCAAGTATTTCACTGGAATTAAATAACGGAATGTTGGGACTTTGTGAGGCATCTTAAAGTTTTTGGCACGCATTACCCTAGGTGATTCATAGCTTATCGCGGCTAAAGGTATTTCTGGTGTCGAATTGCGGTGAACAGCGGGAGTCATCTACGGTTAGAATTTCTCAAGCTGAGAACGAGTCCGATAATTTCATTTGAAAAATAACTAAGAGTAAATGAGCACCTGAAATCACTTTTCTCTTGGGGATACTATAGATTTAAGCTGGAGCCTAGTGACGACCTTTGAAGGCTTTAGAACAGCTTTCGAGGATCTCTAGGGAAAGAACATATTAATCGCCAGAAAAGTCACCATTCAAGTAGAAACTTCGTCGGCGAGCACACGATTATTCATGGTTTATAGAAATGAATCATTCAAGTACGCTAGAAATTCCACGAACACTGCGTGGAACAAACTTGGCTCTTCGAAACATCATTGTGCTTTCAGTTAGTTTTTCTTCAGTTACAATATTTGTATTGGGTACAATTCATTTTTTCATTATCGAAAAAGAATCTACTGAAGCATTCTACTCTATTCACGGCATCGTGGAGGAGAACTAAATACGTATTTGTCCTGCACAATAAATCGAGGTGAGCAAGGACCACGGAGGAATGGACGGTTTGGCTTGTTTAGGTCGAGGGACCGAACCAGGGACTATGTGCGTATTGTATGACGGAAGATTGTGTCGTAGTGGTTAGAGGGGCCCCGCAATACACATGGGTTCGATCCCGCATCTCGGGTTCACCAAACTTTCACCTAAGGATCGAGAAGTTGGTACCTGACTTGTTTGGGAGGATAGCAGCACTCACTCGATACATCGGTAGGCCACCGGAACTCATGGTGTGGGCTAGTTATGCATTCAATCACCTCCAACAATGTTTGACGAAGTCGAGATGCATGCGTCCTTCGGGGTTTGATCATCGCCAAAAACTTCATTCTTTCTAATGAAAGACACTTAATCACAGCGTTGCACACCTACTGGTGCCATACCACACCATATTGCATCGATCACTGTGTGGTCTTCTGATCTGCCGCTGCGATTTTGAATCATCCAGAAAAGCAACGACTGCCTCTTGTAGGACATTCGATCTTGTGAAAAACATGGGCGGAACTTATTAGGGTCAAAGGTCATTATGGGGAAATTCTCGCAGACTATTAGCGAGCCAGTTGTTGGGACATGGTGCGTTTCTATTCAAATATTCAAATATTATTTGGTTATTGAAGAAATCGACGGTAGTATTAAGCATTCTAGGTGAAAAGAAAAAGCATCACACCTTGGCATAAAGATAAATCATGAAGTTTTTGGACTTGGATCAGTCTCTAAGGATTATGATGAGATGAACACCATGCACTGGATTTCATCGAACATCGTCATGGGTGAACTAATGCATATCTGCCCTATACAACGATTTGCCAGAATCAATATGTCGATATCATGTCAGTGTTTCTTTTCTCCCAGAGAAGTGAAGTACCATTTGGCGATTCCGGAGGTATTGCGGAAATGGTGAACCCACAGTGGTCCAACTGTTTCGCTTATGTATTCGTCGGCTTTACAAGAGATCTGATAAACTGTACCCGAACTCATGCAGTGACCGTCCCCACCGTTAAGGCCTATTATGTATTTTTTCGTTGTACATAGACGCTCACATAGGCTACTGGAAATTAGCTGATTTCATGGTGTATTCAGTGATTTTTCAATCAGTTCTCTAGATCTGCCTTTCTTAAGCAACTTTTTGTAGTTGCACTTATTCCGTTCGAAATAATGAGCACGACAAACAGGACATTATTCTCGTCAGAATTATCGTTTAGGAACATGTCTTCCTCTCTAAGCCTATGGCGAGGAGCTACAGTTTCGTAGCTATTCGAAATGGCAATTTGCCACCTCAATTTCAAGGATTCTTCCGCCTGTTTTTTTGTGCGCATAGTGGTGACTTTTCCAAACAAGTTTCTCACAAGCGCCTTTTTGGTGCGAAGGGAGAAAGGAAAGGCAATGAGACATGAGACAGTGTGTTTTTACTCTTTCGCTTTCGGTACCTTTTCCTAATATTGCTGTTTTCGGACAGGTTCGTTCAGAAATTGAAGCCAGTTTTCTTTCAGTTTCCCTAGCCTAAACTTAACGTACTTTGACTGTTTATTTAGTAACTTAAAACATTTGGCGATTTTCTCTTTTGTTGAGCAAATGACAAAGAAATCATCTTTATGTCTACAGTAGAGTAATTGCCGGAGATCGGTTGCTGGTGCTTCACCTTAGACCGATGGCAAGGCGTGGTGCAATTCGTTGTCCCATTGTCAACCCTCTCATTTGTGCAAAATACTTCCTGGACCATCTGAAGATTGAGTAGTTTAGGCGCTCCTTTAAGAGGGTTATCAGCTGTCGAGTCAAGAAGTCGTGCACGTTTATTGTTCCTCCGTGTTCCATAAGGAATTCGAGGATGGCATGCATAGCGTTCAAATAATTTCGATGATCTTTACGTTTAGGTACTTACACACATTTATTCTGAGTTTATTCTACAAGTGGAGCTAGGAGAACTTCGTTGGAATCTGTCCTGTTCTTCAACTGCTTCGTTCGATCAATTCACCATTACAATGATTAATGACAGCTTTCAACTTTAAACCAACGCATCTCATTTCATGGCGGATTTCTGAAGTTTTAAAATTCCTTTTCAATTTTTTCTTTCTGTGTAGATTTTATTCTAAGCGGTTTTAAAATGATAAATCAGTTTCCAAAAGCATTTTAAAAAACTGTCCTTAAGCCATTTTGCACTTTTATGTTGGTTTATGGAATTCTAAAGCTTTCAGCTTCTCTAGTTCTTAAAGAAGTATTGGCAGCTGCCAAAAAATCAGCATGATCCGCCATGTGTTAGAGTCGTAGCGCTAAATTCGACTATGTACTAAGCCATCTGCTCACTTCATCATACTTTTCAACTGTTGTTTTTCACGAAAGCCTCATCACACTCTCCAACTCAAATAGCTCGCTTTGTTCAGGCCGTGGCATAGTTCTCACTTGAGTGATAACTTGCTAGTTCGGCAAGATTTCCTTCTTCAAGATTCTGACATTGCTAGACCATTAGCAGATCCTCACTGTACTCCGACCCCAACCTTTTTGCTCTAAGAGAGTTCGAAATTGCTATTTTCTAACTTGTGTTCTTCTCGGATAACGGAGATTTCTGTCATAAAAACTGCTTCTACAATCTTGGTTGATGGCGACAGAGTTAACCACGTGTTTTTTCAGCGTATTTCATGCATTCGTAACAAATCTCACCACTTCGTATTCTACTAGCTCGTCGTAAAAAACCTTTAGGGCACGACAAATCTGCAGCCGAAGTAGATTGGATATTAGTTTTTCTATTAATTAACTTTGCGATGAATGATAGTTCTTGCGATGTTTGCTCGACATATTTTTCATGAAGTGATTATATTATTTTCATTAAGCCTGATCAATAAACTGTGTGATGGGGCTTAGTTTAGTTGACAGACATTCTTCATCCGCTTACATTCACCTTCCATCAATGTCTTTGCGCTAGTAGGACATCAGAGCTAGGTGCTCCTCCTCTCCACGCCCTCCGGCACTTAATGTCGTTCGTCTAATTTCCTCGACGGATGCAAAAACATTCTCAACAAGGCTCTCAATATCTATTATTTCGATGAGAAGTGACTTCTGTCCTTTTGCCGAAAGTTCCGTGCCTTCCAGATGCAATCGCAGTTGTTCAAAACATGCGTCAATCTTTTTTTCTAAGATAGGCAAGTCACCGAAAAACCCTCTCGTCAAGCAGCACTTTCCTCTATGAACTGTTATATTTTGGACGTTGTTTCTTTAGTTTAAACTGGTTCAATCAGTATTTTCTTTGATCTGGTGTCTTCTTCCATTCAGTTTATTTAGGGGTTTAATAGAATGTGTTTGACCACAACTTGCTCTAACAGGATTGCTCTTATATTTTGATTCAATATAATGTGTTTAACTAAAACGTATATTAAAGAATTGTGGTTACATTTTGCCCTGATCAGCTCTTCTTCTCGTCTAAAACATTGCTTCTCTTTTGCCGCAGTCCGCTGCACAAATTCTTCCTAACGACATTTCTCTTTGCAGCTTATGAATTTCTAAGGCGTGCTCTTTCTTCAGTATTTAATTTCTCTTGTGCCTAAAAACATACGATCTGAGGTGCTGTTGCTCTACTGTCTTTGTCATTTCTTGTGAACTTTCAGGATTCCTACCGTGAGATTGCTTACTTGAATTCTTGGACAGCTGACCGAGAATAGTCCGAATCCAACAGCAGTTTCCATCCATTGTATTTCTTTCTTTGATGAGCTAACGTAAAGTTATTAGAAAATTTTATTTGGCTTCTATGGTTGTTCTCCTGATGTTTTTATTTGGTGAAAAGCTTTGTTCTGGCTTATCAAAGTAAAAGATTTCTTTGATTATTCGTAAAGGGTGGATGAGGCATAGAGCGTTTGGGGGTTGATCAATTCCGGAGAAATGGGACATCTCTTCGACTTCATTAAGCAATGTAGAGGCTATTTAATGGATATCTGGCCTACGAAATGATTGACATTGGCCTGGTAATGTAACAAGTCAGTGTTTCCTTCCTCTCAGGCACGTCTGATACCAATTTCTCGACTCCGGAGTGATGAAAGTTTAGTGATTCGATGACGCGTGGTCGATCCAATGACCATGAGTGCATCGTGGGGCACTTTTAGCCGCTGCACTACACAGGCTACCTGGTTGTTCACACGGCGGTTAAAACATAGAAGCTTTACGAAACAATTTCTATTCATTTTGAGCACTCGGGATGACCGTACGGAGGCGTTGCCTATCTCATGACCTATGCTAGTTTTGTTTCCCATTCCAGAAACCATTAGAACAGAACCATCCAGCCTTAGAAAAGATGGAAAACTAGCTGAGAGAAAGGCGAAACAATGGACTCGCAAGTCCCCGCAAGGAGTAGAAACGCGTTCGATTTCCACTGCAGACACCTCCGGACCTTTGCAAATATCTCAGCATAATTGTGGTTGTATTTCACATAATACCCTGCCGTGAAATGTGTAGCAAACGCTAAATGAAAAGGTTATACCATAATAGAGATCATCAATCTTGCAAATGGTCTCATTTGAAGGCGCTTCCAGCCTCTCGAGGTTCACTACATCGGCGTTCTCTTTTCTCCATTGTTAACTTTGCTCATCACAAACTTAGCGCTATTTCCTTCGCTATTCATGTGTATTCGACTAGAAAACGGGATAATGGTCGATGAAGTGCACAGGCGTTTTTAATGTTCAATGTGGCGATTGTGGTTCTTTAGAAGAAGACATCGATATAACTCTCTAATATGCCGTGCAGAACAATCACATCGTGGTTAAGTTGTCAGTTCACATGTGTCAGCTGCATTGAAGAATGCAGGAATCATTGAGTCGAACAAGTCAGCACAAAGCTCTACAAATATTTTTCAGTGGTTTTTTCAGAGGCTATAAAGTGTGCTAGATTTAGTGAAAGTAGATTTATAACAGTCGTTAACCGTGTTCAATGAGCGCTAGTCTGGTTAAATGTGTATGGTCGTTAGCGATTGGAAGCATTAACCACTTCAATTCGTTTTCTTCATCAATTTTTAGACTTGTTATAAAGTAGATCTACTCCATTTTCTCACGCTCATTTTTTCTTTAGCGTTTCTATGAGCTCATTGAGAATTATTCCTGCTTCACTACTACATCAAAAGGTAATTATATCATGAGCAAAAAGGTTTTGTTAGGAATTTTCAGGAATATGCTCTTGCTCTTTTCATTGCAATAGAATACGTTCATTGTCCATCGCAAGAATAGCGAACGGTGTTGTCTAAATGATTTTATTAAAACCGCAATAATGCTGAGATATTTGCAAAACTCCGGACCGTAGGTGTCTGCGGTGGGGGTGGTGAACGCGTTAGTCCCGCAAAGGGTAATAAAAAAACCACTGTAGTAGAAAAAAACATGTTGGTAAATTTCTGTAGACTCTACGGTTTTTACAACGACAACGATGCTGAGATGTTTGCAAAATTCCGGACCGCAGGTGTCTGCGGTGAGGAACGAATGCGCTATTACCCTTTCTGGGGCTAACGGGCTTAAAACGCTTAACGGGCTATTTTTCATGATAGGGTATTACTACAGGTTTTATTTTATTTAATAGTTTTTCTTGGACGATCATACAATGAAGGACATTCAAGTCCTCGTGAATATGTGGACATCGAATCGCTACACTTGAAAAAAATTTTTCATTTATGAGTCCTAAGTATAGCCTTTGCTATGTGGACATTGTCTATAACTCGTAACCAGTGTACTTCCAGATCATCTGGTAACCTCGTCTATTCCGAGCACATCAAAATTTTTAAAAAATTGGTGCAGGATTCTAACCCAATCCTATAAAACCGAATTCCTCAGCTCAGAATATAGTTTATTAATCGTTGTAAAAAGCACCAAAGCATGCTTATTTTTGCCAAAAAGAAGCAATTTAGTTTGGTTTCTGGTTGGTCGAAGCTTTTTAGTTTTGAAGTCAACAAAACTTTTAAAGGCAGCCTTAGCCTCAGCTTGATCTCTGAAACATTTCTGGCACAAAAATTATTGAGATGATTGAGAAGGTGGTAGCGGCCGCCAGCTTCAGTGAATAAGCTGGATGAGACAGAGTTTTGTGCACAGCTCGTTTGTTGTGTCCTTGCATCGGTACCGTGTGCATGGGAACTTTTCGGGAGAAGGATTATTCAATTCGCACAACATCCACTTGTTCAACTTCTCCCAAGTCTAAAAGTTTTTTCGAGTGTTCTAGAACAGTTTAGATGCTTGGCATGGGGTTTTTTGAAAATTGTCAAATAGTTGTGCATATAATTGCTCCCATCAAACCCTTCAGTTCATCGTCTTCAATAGCGGAAGGACGTGCGTGTCTTTCCACGACTTCAAAGACGAATTGAGCCCAATGAATTTTTTTAAACAAACGTCGTGGCGTAGGTTCGATAACACTTTTTTGGTCCTTCATTAACGTTTCGAGCTGTTTATCTACGTACTTCCGAGTTCAGATTGGTAAAAGTAGATTTATCGGAAATGCTCTTTCGGCATCTCAAGTTCTAACCTCTGAAATTGTCAGAATCACAAGTTATATCGAATTTTAGTTGTACAGGAAAGTGCTTGGAACAAGCTTTTCAACGATGTGTAATAGTAGAGCTTTCGAGGAAAAGCTTTATAAAAGGTATAGAAAAAAAACGAAAGTGAAAATCTGACTTTTCTTCCGAAACAACCAATTAAATCACCTTTATGTCTCGGATAGGGAAAGTTTTATAAGCGAAAAAAAGCAAAGGAACAGTTGTTCATGTTCTCAGATTTCGTTATATAACTGTTTTGACGGCTGTTATATTGGTTGCATGGAAGCTGAACGGCTATGAATGGAACACATTCATTGCCTTCTATGCACTTCGACTGGATAACGTGTAGTTTATTGTGCAAATTCCAATAGAGAACTATTCATTCACTCATCGTCAGTGGTCTTATCTTATAAATGCGTAGTTTCACCTGCAGCAAGTATTATCAAAGTAGTGCTGTCATTTTACGGTGAAATGGATGTTTAATGGAACCTATTCCGCTTATTTTGGAATGAAAGCACCTGCTTTCTTCGACTTTCTTTCGCTCATTGGATTTTCATTGCTGATGTGGACTAAAAATAAAGGATAAAACCCTAGGTGTTGATCAGTCCCTGAAAAATGCGTCATACATTCGACTTTATTAAGCATCGTTGGAAGTAATTAAATGCATACATGTCCCCCTTAAAATGACTGGCGGTGGCCTACCGATGTATGGAGCCAGTGCTGCTATCCTCCCAGACAAGTCTGGTAGCAATTTGCCAACCCCGGAGGGATGGAAGGCTTGGTGGACTATGGGCGCTGTGATCGATTCCACGTGTGTTGTAGGGCGCCTCCGACCACTGCGCTACACGCACCACTTTAATGTGAAATAAGACGAAAAATTAAGCTGCGATTTCTTCGTTAAATCTTTGTCGAAAGAAATTTTCCGGCATTGTGTAGTAATCATGGCGCCGTTCTGTTTGTTTGCACTTCGTGCAGCCAGAATTCAGGTTAATCAGCTCTTAGTGCCATATCGAAAACACTTTTATCAGTTATGTGAAAAACCACGAAGAATGGTTTCCTACTTCGAACCAATTTTTGTATTTTGACGTAATTCCTATTTAATTTAATAATTTGTGGATAAGTAGAAGACGAAGCCACCCATATCGCGATGATCCAGCTCTTTTCCATCCTTTTCGCTGTCTTGCAAACTTCATCCCCAAAGGCGAGCACATTCATGTGTGGCTAGCACTTGATGATTTTTACTCTTCTTTTATCGCATGTATCTTTTATCTTGTTGAAGAGTAACTGGAATGCGGAAAGATAGCCAAACTAATGTGTTCTCAGAGTCATCGGTTGATGAGGAAGGTTTGGGAAGGAGGTTTTTGCTGCACAGCGTCTAGGATTTTTAAATATGGTAGTGATTCCTGTAACGGCAAAAAAAATAAATTTTTTATAATAATTCGTCGACTTCATTGGCCATTCAAGGAGAGTGTAAAAACTCTAGCACAATTCTGCTTATCATTATTTGTAAACACACATAAGATTTAGATTCTTTAATAGAATACGACGATGATGATGTCCTGTTTTTCTTAGATTATTTATCATACAGAAGTTTGGTAGAAAGTTCTATTCGACTAGCCTTACGGCACCTTCGTCTTCGTCAGAGCTACGACGACCTCAGTCGGTCATCTACAGCCGTTCGGCCTCGTGATGTGGGTCTTCGCAGTCGAATCGAATCTAGTCTTCTGGAGTAGAGCATCGCTAGAATGAAGAACCTTTCTCGGCAGTGCTTCTTTTTATACAGAGTGGTTGCTGATCCACGGTCATTCATTTTTGGTGTGTGTGTCTGTGTCTCCATGTTGGCAAGGCATCTTAGCGGTCCTGGAGAGGGCAAAAACGGTTGCCAAATAAATCCTTTATAATAATAATAAAAATCACTTGTATTACCTGTAGTCCTGTTGATCGTCGAGTGAATCGAGCGCGCGCTAGTAAATCTTCCATTTTTTCCCTGTTGCATGCAAGAGTATCCCAGTGTGTTCTGCTCGCCCTAGGAACTTGTCGAGCATCATGTCTCCCTTCTAGGCATTTCGTGAAGAACTCTGACCATCGAGTTGGTGGTCTTCCTGCAGTGCGTTTAATATCCCGAGGAATCCAGTCACTAACGACTCTTGTCTATCGGTTGTCGTTCATACGCAACACGTGTCCCACCCACCGTATCTTCGGCTGTTTGGCGCACAGAGCGGCGTCTTCGATTTTTGATCGTTGACGAAGGTCGGTACTTCGGATCTCAACCCTTACTTGTGTGGAAAGGGATACTCCTAGCATCGTCCTTTCGACTGCGAGTTCGATAACTTTGGGTGACTTTTCATCCAGCTCACCGAGCTACCAAGTCTCTGATACATACGTTAGGGCAGGAAGTGCCGTTGAGTTGAAAAGGTGGACACGGAGTCGGGTGTTCTTTGTTCTTTTCACTACATCCTCGATGCTCTTGAAAGCTCTCCAAGCCGCTCGTTTCCTTCCTGCTTAGCTCTGGAGCTAGGTCGTTCGTCATATTGATTTTCCGACATAGATAGATAAAACTGGAATATTCGGCGATATTCGTTCCATTGAGCGGACATACGAAACCAATACGTTTCCCGTGAACATCGCTTTTATGAAATTTAGTCGAAGAACAATCTTTCCACAGGCTTTGTCAAAGTCGTCAAGCGTACGTTCCGCTTGGCTAATGTTTGGTGTTATAAGGACGATGTCATCAGCAAAGCGAAGATGGTGTAACTGCTGACCATCGATTTTCACTCCCGTATTATCCCTTTCAAATGTTTGCAAGAGGTTCTGGAGGGTGGCAGTAAATAATTTTGGCGAGATCGTATCACCTTGCTTAACTCCTCTTTTGACGTCAATGTTAATATCGTTGTAGAAGGGCGATAACATAGTTGTGAAATTTTTTGTACAACTCGCGAAGAATCTTTATGCACTGAGTAGGGACTCCTTGACTATCAAGGGGTTCCAAGACTGCTTCCATCTCAACTCATTCAAAGGCCTTCTGTAAATCGATGAAAGTGGGACAGAGCGGTCTTTTGTACTCTCGCGATACTCCAATGAACCTTGTTACCGTGTGGATGTGGTAAATCGTAAAATCCTTTTCGAAACCCTGCTCGCTCACGTGGCTGTCCTTCGTTAGTGTTCTGTCAATCCTGTTTAGGATAGCTCGAGTGAAAAGTCTGTAGACGACAGACAGTAAGCAAATTGGGAGATAGTTGCCGATATCGTGCAGGTCACCCTTCTTGAACAATAACACGGTCTTCCTGGTCTCCCACTGAGTGAGACCTTGCATTCAGACAGGTAACGTGTGAAGAGCCGAGCCAGTTCGCGAGGACTGGCGGAAGGTCTTTCAGGTGTTCTGGTCTTATCCTGTCCGGACCTGGTGCTGTTCGATTTTTCACCGACGAAATGGTATGTCGGATTTCGGAAGGAAGAACCGGTGGTACAACATATCCATCCTTCTTTACTTCATATGTCGGAAGGTGGACGTGGCTATCGAAAAGATCCGAGTAGTATTCGTAACTGATTTTCTCCATTGCCTATCTGGATGATGTAACTGCTCCGTCTGGGCGTCAGAGTGCAATCATCTTGATCTTCTAATTGGCGAGGCTTCGGTGGGCTTTCCGAATGCTTTTCCCAGTCTCTGCAGCTTCGACCAGTACTGCTGCTCCTCTCTCTCTAAGATCTGCTTTTATCGCCTGCCTGCATTGTTCCATTCTAATCCGTGGATCTCAATGTGACGTTCTTCAGACGTTCTTCGGTCCAATCTCGGCGGTGAAATCTCCAATGATGACCTTGAAAAATGTGTTGTCTTCTCTGTAGAACTTCTCCAAGTCCATATAGAACGCTTCGACTTCTTCTTCGTCATAGCTTGACGTCGGCGCGTAAACGACGAAGCTTGTCAAGGCCGGAATTGATCCACGTCTTCTTAATCGTAAACGTTCGATTCGGGTTGTAAGTTGTTCGAATGGATCGATGCTCGTGGACAAACTCGTGTTGACGAGAACGCCGACGCCGCCGACTCCTTTACTGTCGCATGTTCCGAGGAACAATTCTTCTCCGGTGTCATAGACGGCGTTGAAAGGCTGGCATCTTCTCGTCTCGGCCATGCCGATGACGTCGTACTTTATACTTCTTGCTTCCATGAGCAAATCTTCTATCGAGGACTCGGATGCAAGTGTACGTGCATTGTAGGTACAGGTCGTCACCATAGCTCTTTGAAATCCAGGCAGCTTCCATTGGCCATGAGATTTCAGCAGCCTCTCAGTACTCGTCCTATCCAACGCTGCTAAATTGGGGGCTCTTTCGGGATCAGAGGAATGAGGTCCGCTTCTTTTACTGTTTCTAGCCTTTTGGCAACCATGCATAGCTTGCCGGGCTCTGAATGTGGGGTTGTGTGCACTCACGGGTAGCTTTCCAGGTGGACATGGAGCTTACTTGTTGTAGGCGACTCCTAACCGCCTCCCTATACTTCCCAGTCACTTGATTGCAGGCCTTTGGCCGAATGGACTCGCAGAATACAATTCGCATAAGCAAGAACGCACCCACACACGCATGCATGAATACGCCTAGCAAATACAGAAAGTATGTACCAAATAAGCGCAGCAGAAACAGGGAGCCCATCGCCTGGATCCACCTGCGTCCTAGGAAAGCAAAGGTCGCCTTTGGTCTGCGATTAACCTCCTATCCGCCACCTGGGGACGCGCCACATAACCTCGTGACTGATCGGCTCGAGATTCCTCATATGAAGGTAATAACAATAATAATAATAACAATAGTAATAATAGTAATAGTAATAATGACGTGTTAATCCAATTGTATAAAGAACCGTTGATTATTCTTGCCGTTGGTTTATTGCTAGTCTGTTCTTAAGGTAATTTTACACTATGTGCTAACCGTTTTTTGTGACAACTTTTTACATTACTCGACCTCACATATTGTGCAGATCCCAACACTTCTTGCATTCTGTTCACTTTGTCACATCCATCATCCACAAAGGTGTTCGGACTTTTGCGCGCAGGTTTGGCTGCTGATCGAGGGTTTTCGTCTTCGTTATGAACATTGTTCAATGCAGATCGCCTCCATTCTCCCTTATATCGCGAGATATCCTTATCTGGATGTTCTCACGTGGATTCATTGAAGTGAGCTGATCGCTAACGGTTCTAGCACTAATTTCCTAACTCTGGAAGGATAAGAGAAAGTGGGCCCGAAGCAGGGTTGAACTAGGGACTTGCTCTAAATGAATGTATCACTATCAGGCAGCTACCCACACGCTGTTTTTCGATTACTGTAGGAAATATCTTGACCGTACTACAAGTCATTCTTACTTACTTGATACTTGAACGGCGGGTCATCACTACTTGTGCGGGCTCCAGCATAATCACCATTTCTCAGAGATTTGCTGATTAAGCTATTGTGGTTCCTTGAAATTCCGTGGATAGCCCGGCCAAAGTCTGCCTTAGGTCGTCACCACGACAGGCAGTCGCAGCCCTTGTGGATCAGAGGGACATTTACCACTATGCGACTTTGATACCAAGATGGTGGTGGATCTTAGTATTGGTTTACTCTTAGCTAGGCTTTCTGATGGAAACGCCGGACTGCTTCTTAGCTTGGGAGACCCTGCCGGGGGATGAATCCCCCACTGTAAATCGCAGTCCGACACCCAGAAACACCTCCCAGCCACGATGAGGCGGTAAACCGTTGGGAGGACAAATAATTCTATTCAGCAAATATACACTAAGTCACTTCTTCTGTTATTACCTTGTATTATCTCGAAAGTTATCGAGTCTTAAACATTAAAAGGTCCATATACGGCAATTATACCATATACAAGAACACAGTTAATCGGTGGCATATCAAGGATGTAAGATGGTCAGCAGCGCTCATAGCTCCCAAGGAAAACTGGTGAAGTTGTCCTTTGTTAAACTGCCCATCTTCTTAAAATTAGTTCTCGATTCTCAAAGGTATCTGTTTTTCTTTTATCACTCCAATTGTTTGTTACAGTGGCTGCAGAAAGATCTTCCTATATAAAATTTTCAACTATTGCCTATCTTCCAGCATTCACTTAGCGCTGTTGCACAACAGCGACTTCATGGTTGTTGTTCTTTCTGACGAAGAGTGATTTTTTCCAAGATACAAAAGACATCTTTATCTATTGCCCAGATGGAAAACATTAATTCATATTTGCCTAGGAAATATGTTTTTTCATCTCACAGTCTTTCATTCCTCTTTTGATTCCAATTTAGACCAGACGCCTTTTGGACTGTCATCAGTAGTTTTTTTCTTTTTAGGAAAATATTAGAATAAAACTCGTGTTGACTTTGGGAATTTCTTGACGTAGATTTTACTATTCTTTCTTATACGAATGTCTCTGTGGCAATGACTTCTTCTCAACACACATTTTGAAGAATATCTCAATTCATTTCATATTGTGGTACGGTAATGTAACGAGCTATTTCAACTTTAGCGGTTGTTTTTATTGAGCGTCTTCATCGTAACCGCATAATTAGCTATTCTTTAGTGTAGTTAATTACGAACTTTAGGCATCGATGACATCGTTTCTGCGACGTCTGTCTGTCGATTCGGATTCGTCGAAGTCGAGCGAGTTGTCGAATCGAGAGTGCCATGAGCATCTGATCAGGGCGACGTCTCGTCGGAATTGCTTCACCGTCGGCATCGAAAGGGTCCGTCGACGGTTCTCACTGCAACCCTGCAACGAACTCCATAGCCATTTGCAGGGAATCCCCTTAGGTCAAGCTAATATTGGTAGCTTGCCCAATCTCGAAGAGGTAAGGTACTGCGTTAAGTTCTTGATATTATCAATTTATAAGTTTTTAGAGAGTTTTTTAGAGAGTAGCATTTGATGAGATGCCAATAATGATCACATCTACTTTTCGCGTAAGTTGTTCGAGACAGGGCTTTCATAGGCTCCTCTCAGATGGAATACTCTGCTGGATAATTCTATGTATTGTCATAATGGTGTTGAGATATTTGCAAAACTCTAGACCGCTGGTGTCAGCGGTGGGGAACGAACGCGCTATTGTCCTTTCCGGGCAGTAATACGCTCACCACCACACCATGCGGGTCCTTCGTTTCGCCTGTCTCTCACTAGTTTTATCGATCTTTTGCCATTAGCAATCACTCGTCAGCGAGATTGATCTGGGGGGCCTAAATCGGCAACGAACCCAGTTAAGCTGAGGCCGCAGTTATAATCACAATTTTAACTTAATAGTACTAGCTGAGAGACAGGCGAAACGAGTGATCCGCATGGTGTGGTGGTGAACGCGCTACTCCCCGGAAAGGACAATATCGCGTTCGTTCCCCACCGCATGCACCTGCGGTCCGGAGTTTTGCAAATATCTCAGCATCATTGAAGCCAAATTCACTGAATCACCAAATTCCGTTTTGTTGAATATTCCTCCACAGTCGGTATCAATCACGGCATACTTCAGTGGAAGTAGGTGTTCTATAACTTATGATGTTGCAAGTGAACAACGGCTGCCTCATTTGTGATGGATATCTGTATGACCTTCTGAACAAAATTCTCAGCAGAAAAAGAGCGTGTATATGGACAAAAAGCAGAAACAGAAGTGGTTGATCACTGCAAGGAAAAATCTTAATACACAATCGCACTCCAGCGAAATCGTAACGATTACAGCACTGTTACAAGCATTCATAGTTGTGGGTGAAAACGAATGCACTCCATTGTCGTCGATAAAATCCCTTATGAAGGAATTTCAAAAATCCATAGTTATTCTGAGAGGAACATTTATATTTTCTCATATCTTTTTTCTACCTTTTCCTTTCAATTTCTCTATATTTCTTCGAATTTCTTTTTCTAATGACCTAATGAGTCCATAGACGCTTTTAAAAGGATGGGAACTATGTATGCCAGCCCATCGTTTTATGAATATCATAATCGTAGCATAAACTCATCATCACAATGTCCACGTTGTCCAGATTTTCCACGTATGGTCCTAAGGGGATTACTTCGTTTTCAGGACCATCATCGCTACATTTTTCAAACCTATAACCTTTCGGTTTGTAGACTTTTAGCATTTTTAATCAATCGGATTTCACAAAATGTGAGAATGACAACACTTCTTCCCACTCGATTCGTTTCCTCACATCCGTCATCCGCGACTGTTCTCGGATTATGATTGTAGCTTCGGCTGGTCCCTGAGAATTTTGCTCTGACTAACGAATATCGTTGAAAGCTGCTCAAGTAAATTCTTTCTGGAATCGTCCAATAGCTCTACTTTAACCTTCGTCACCAGAAACAATCGTCAAGCTTTCTTGATAGGTGGGAACTTCTTTCAAGCAACTCAATTTTCCAACTCCTTAATGTGGAATGCTTAGTCACGTTGGCACATGGTTGAGCCAGCCACCATGCTTGTATTACATAGAATCTCTAATTACCTCTTCATAAGCTGGAAATGAACTCGCCAGAACTTTCTTATAGGACAGGATCGCCTTCGACGTGTAACACATTGGTCTACTGCCAGTTTAAGCCGATGACCACTAAGATATTCACAAAAAATTTTTTAATTATCAACAATCACAGCCTAGGTTGAAGAATAATAATTTGTTGAAACCTCGGACGAGTGAAGAATTTTGTTCGGTCGTGTGCGAAGTTGAATTTGGATACTTCACTTTACAATTTCATTTCTACCCATGATTTAGATCTTGCTTGAAGAGGTAGACATAGTAAAAGACGAAAAGTAAACAGGAGACATAAAAAAATCGATACAGGCGTCATTTTAGGAAAAAAGCTTGAGGCAACGCAACTTACCGTCTGCTCTCCGAAAAGCAGTAAAAGCCTGTAATAAATTTGGTATTAGACATTGCAATTTTTGTAGGATTTTCAGTTAAGATTTTCCCTGAACAAAGATCAAGTCCAAGTCTAATTTGCAAAACCCTGGACCGTAGGTGTCTGCGGTGGAAAACAACGCGCTATTACCCTTTCCGGGGCTAAAGTGATCGATAGAACTAGTTGAGAGACAGGCGAAAAGAACCGACCCGCAAGGTGTGGTGGTGAACACGTTATCCACCAGAAAGGGTAATAGCGCGTTCGTTAGCCACCGCAGACACCTGCAGTCCGGAGTTTCGCAAATATCTCACTATCATTGTGGTTCAACACACATAATACCATGCCATAGAGAATTATAATAGGCCGTAAATAAAAGTTAACATTCTAAGTCTAATTCTTTTC